AAATCCTGATAGGAACCTGAAATCTCGACTCAGAAAAATATCTGAGCAAGAACTTGAAAAAATCCTAAACAGGATCTTGTTTCACCTCGACAAATCCTGGAAACAGGAATTTCTAGGATTCCAGACAGGATCCTGAATAAAACTTAGCAGGATCCTTGAGATTCAGGATCCTGACAGATCCTTTCAGGGTTTCTCAAGGAATGAACAGGATTGAGACTAGGGTACCCATGTTAGACAAGTACTCTTGCGAATAAAATTGTTTTATCATATTGTAAATGAGCATAAACAATCGGAAACTCGGTTTTCAGATCATTTATCGCGGCCGTAATCATTGTTCTGTGAATGAAAAAGAGTTGATGAGAGTGTATTGCGCCATTATATCTTTAGAAGTATCTCAATGTATTCGATATCAAGTATAAAATGGAGTCCTTTTGTAGTAGTTTTCTCACACTTGCTGAGTTTGCTGATGGACCAAGCTCATTTGATAGTTCTCTAGAATTTTACATTTTAGAGAAACTAAATCCCACTATTATAGGGAACGATTCAATGCTTTGGTTTGTGTGACACACGGGTTGAAATAAATTATGAGGTAAACAAAGTAGAAAATTGAATAGACCAGCATTTTCTCATGATTAATCAAGACAGATAGTCTAGATGAACCAACATAGAAGATGCTGAATTCTATACAAAATGTTAAACAAATTTGTGCCAATAAAAGGTTAAATGAAATGTCAGTTACTGGATTATGTCTCAAAGTGCATATTGAGAAGGATTAATGAATAGTTGTGATGACATTTGATTAGTTATCATCGATTCACTAGTTCTTCAGACGACGATACGCATCTTTCTATCTTCATTTCATGATATTTTGATGAAAAAAAAGAGGATTTTCTTCATTTCCTACCCCATGATCTTAACTATTGACTTGGAACTATTTTGATGATAATCTCTGCAGCATTTTCATCAGTTATAACTGCATATAATATCAGTTTTATTCCAAATTTTCTGGTGTTCTGAACACGAATACATGCCTAATTTTATTTAGCATGCCTAATATAAAATACATACGGAATCCAATAGTTACTAGTTTAGTAGTTATTCGGAGTACAGATTTAATTGATTTTTCACTCAAAACTTTATATCTACCATTTTTGCATTAAAATATTATCGCAAAATTTTTACTTTTATTGAATCTAAAGAATCTTATGTATTTGGTAGATTTTTAGCGTATATCGGTTTGTTATCGAGAGGGTTTTCTACGAGTCTAAACTCTATCTTTTCAATTATCTGGACCGACATGTTCTTAGTTGGATTCTAACATTCATATCTACTTGCCTCTCGAATCGAATGTCGAATTCAAAGCTAAATAAGTCTAACAATGGTCGCTATGAAATTTCTGCATCTTGTAAGAAAAAGTTTGCAATGATCAACAACATTACAGAACGACAAAAGTTGAAAAGTGCGACAATTTTTTGAAAATACTTTTAGAAAAATGAAAACTTTCCCAAGAATTCCTGATAACATTTCTTGAGTTTTCGACTAAAGAAAAACTAAATTTTCAAATATCAGAAGAAAAAGAATGTGTCCTTGCTTTGTATTCAATATAGCTTTCAAAAACTCATTACAGAATCTTTTCTAATATCTATAGTGAAGCTGGCATGATGGAACAGTGCTTAATGCCAGTCTTTAATGTTGTAGGACTCCATTTTTCTGAGCGACGGTAGATAAAACAACAGGTGAATGACAGTAAAAACCACATTGGCCTCTAGTTAGTATATTAATCAACTCAGTAGTGTCCGCAATAGGAGAGAAACTCCAAAAGCTTACTCTTAGGTTCTATAACGGTATAATAGTACGTCAATCAAATTTTGATTGATCTTAATATCTAGAATAGGATTTATGGATAATAAAATTATCAGAGGAACGCTACTTCCGAAATCTTCAATGATCATAGTTACTTTCATACACAGAATTATTTATTTACTAGCCGAGAATATCTGTACTATTCAACATCTTCGCACTGTGGCTGCGGATGACAGTTGCTGGGATAAATTGTCATCTATGAAGTATTTTGTTAAACAAATGATTCGTGATTATCTTCAATTGAATTACTCATCAACTGCATTCAGTACGACGAAAGACCCCTATGCAGATTCAAAGGCTACTTTATATGGTGATATACATAGAGTACGGCGTTATTTTCATTTTGTTACAAAGACACTTGATCACATACCTTATCTGGATCGACAAGCCGTCGATTTATCCATAAAAGAAATACGGAGAACATACGATGATGATGGCAATGTTCTCAGCAACATTCATGGATATTTAAGAACATTCTGTATGAAAAATACTGTTTTTAGCGCTCATGAAAACGAACAACAACGTGTAAAATGGATTAAAGAACTCAAAGAAAAACAACAAGCAGCTAATGAATTGCGCGAGAAACTACCAGTGTGTGACAAAAAATGTCAAGAACTTCAGAAATCTATTGAAGTACTTCAGTTACGTCGAGAAAATTTTAATATACAAATAAAAGATTTGGCTAAATCTCTAAATGTGGCTTCGATACAGAAACTTGCAAGTCTACGTACAGGAAAGGCAGAAGTAGAAAACGACATGAAAAAGAAAGAAGAGCTCCTTGCCAAACATGATCTGCTGTATATGAAAACTTCAGGAGAACTCATCGAATATGAGGCACGGATTAAAGATCTTGAAGGTTTTCTCAAACTGGACCTTGCAGATGAACAACGAAAGTTGAAAGTGAAGTTTGGAAGAGGACTGCTACTTTACGGGCCGCCGGGAACAGGTAAGCATTGTATCACATGAAAGTCTTAACGATATATACGAGTGATCGGAAAAATTCAAAGAATTGGTGGTAGGAACAACATATAGGTCAAGTTGATCTATTACTTATAGTAGACTTGATCGCTAGTTACCCGAAGATTGAATCTTTTATTCGAAAATATAGATGTTTTACTCCATCCTTTGAAACTATAGTGGACTGTGATTTTCGAAAAGTGGATATTAAATAGCTATCATGAGCGGAAGCTACAATGTTTTTTTCTTTTATCTGTATGTCTTTTAAAATGTATTGAGTTATTAAGGTTGTAATTAATTTCCTTTTCTCAATTTTGAAATGTCTCGACCGTCACAAGCTATAACTTGTGTCAAAGATACTACTCTCAAAAGTATTGATGGTTAGGAGCAATGTTCAAGTAGTACTATTGAAATTTTATGTCACTTGAGTGTAAGAGAAGTGCATAGATGATATAAACAGCATGCAAATTCGTATTACAGACTATCTTACTATCACAAATTTAAAAAATTAGAAGAAACACCAGAAAATATTTTGATTTCAAATTGTTTCACAATTTCTTAAATACTTGATTAAGCAAAAATCGATGCTCCAGACGTGAAAAATACATCCATAATATGTAAATTCGTTTACATTTTAAGGAATCTTGAATAACCAACAAAGCTATCTGTTACGATGAAAATGATAAACGAATTGAGTAGGGCTTTCATAGAGAGCAGTTTCTTTAAAGTGTGATTGGGAAAGCTTAAGAAAAAATGTTTTCTATATTTAATCGAGTATTCCTTCATTTCTTATCGAAATTTTCAAAAATAAGCTTTTCTCCACTTCCATTGATGAAATGCATGTATATGATACGGTTTCATCGCTTTTCCTTAAGTTAACTTCCTCATAAGCAGAGACTTTTTAGTACAAATATACTTGGGGGAGTATTCGCCGTCTACAGTGATGCATCACGAATTTTCGGAAGAAAAAGTTGACACTCGAATGGCGCTTGTACTAGAGAAGATTCATTTATCATACTTCGTGTACCAATGCAATTTAAAGCATGGTAGATCCTACGTAATACGCACACGAAAAACTTCAGCATAGTGATCATAGTGCCGGTGAGAAGTTGTATTTTAAGAGTGCCGCATAATCATAACCAATCTCAAAACTTCATTTTTTAAATATTGCTACTTCCGCGGTGCAACAGTCGTAATTGAAAGTAGACCGTTGAGAGCTCAGACATAATGTAATTTATGCAACTATCAAAATAATAAATGGTTATCTTCACTGATTCAGAAAAATGGGTATGTTTTTGATCAGATGTACCTTGTGATGTCAGTTGTAGACCATATGCATCGAATGCCGATCATGCTTACTCATACTAAGTAATACCTAAAGTTATCGTAATTTTATACGCACACTGCAAACAATATATACTGACAGCCTTGAGTAGCCGGATAATTTTTGACAATTGAAATTCTACGATTGTTTAGTCCATCTCAGTACTGGATTTGTTAGTTGAATGTAGTCTTAAATTTTAATAAACACTTAAGTGTTGTAAAACATGATTTCGTGGTGAGATTTTTAGTTTTTTTCAAGACTGATGAGTGATTCGAGTCAATTCAACTGTTGTAATCAATCAGTTTTATGGATGTTTTTCAAGCTGAAAAATATTTTTGTGACATGCTATTCATTCTGGACACATGCTTTTCAGGGGAAATTTTTTGTGGACATCAGAATAGCATATTTGTATTGTTTCAGGCATCATGCTCTATCAACGTTGACGATTCATTGTGTTTTATTTCTTTGATTAAAATTCTCTAAAACCCATATTATTTGCTTGAAAGTAGCCTAATAAGTTTCTTTTGCTGATGATTAGATTTGGATTATTATCATCTTTTAGAAGCAGGCGGTTGTAGGATCTGCCTAGATTTCATGAACAATTAAATCTTTAAAATACAAAATTGAATTGAATGTATAAGTAATCCTTCTATGTTACGAAATAAAATAGTAAATTTTGATGCATCATTGGATCTTGATAAATTAAACGACGGTATTGAGATTAAAAAATAAGTTTGAACAATATATTTCTTATGAGTCTTGATTAAAATACTATATGATATGGCTTTCATTCAAAATTGCTTGTAAGTGATTGTGCTAGATAATCTTGATAACTTTGACATTTTTGCTGCACCCTAATTAAATCCCATAAAGTCTATTCTTTCTGTTATTCATGAGAAAACACTCGATGACTTCTTGATCAATCTCAACTGTCGTATATCACATTGTTACAAAAGAAGAAAATACTACCAGTAAGATGTGATTAATTAATAGATCTCTTGGAGAATATGTGGGTGTATGTGTAGGGTGTGGATACAATTAGAAACACACTCCCTTGATTCCAAAATATAGGTTTTCTTGAAGAATTCTTCAATTGATTATCATATTTTATTTAATAGAGAAATTCCCCAACTAATTCGCCCTTTAAACGTACATTATAGGTAAATCCGAACTTTTAAAACGAGCTGCTGTATTTGCTGGCATTACTACAACAACAACTCCATTAGCTGCTGGTGAACTTAATCGACCCCATGTTGGCGAAACAGAGAAGTTACTTGTCGATATCATGTATCGTTCAAACCCTATATCCTATCTGATTTGTGCGATGATAATCGACGAGATTGATGGGCTTGTTCCTAAACGGGATAATAATGCTCAACAATCCAAAGTAGACGGTATTAGCGTTCTTCTCTCACACATTGAAGGTGTAAAAAATATTCCAAATTTAATTGTACTCGGCGCCACGAATCGTAGAAATATGATGGATGAAGCATTTTTGCGTCGCATGCAGGCGAAATGTTTTGTGGGTCGACCATCACCTAAAATTCGAGAAAAAATGCTCCAACCATTAATAGTGAAAGATCCGCATACGTTCACGAGACATCGCATCGATTTTCTTGTTAAGATAACGACAAACTTTAGTGGGGCTGCTGTTGGTGCCCTAAAATCAAGTATTATTGTTGCCTTAGATCAAGGTCAAACACTGAATCGGGATGTTCAAACCAGTTTGCAGACTTCACAATTCCAAACGAGTTCACCCGATCTTCAATCAACATCCGCAATTGTCATTCCTTCAGTTGAAGCGGGTGCACTTAGTAAGTATGAACTACTTACGTTAGCCGATGGTGCAGCACGAGAATTTAGCTGTTGGTTTGGTATTGGAACGCTACCCGGTATCTTTCGTCTTTACCCAAATATGTGTTCGAGTTCTGATCAAGAAAGGTACTCACTTGCATTGCCAAATCATGTTCCATCTGGTCGAATTCTTGTCAATTTAAGCGAAAAGAAATGTATTATTGAAGTAGCTGGAGATGATTTATCACTTGAACACGAATTAGATGAACAAGAAACATGTACATTAGCACTTCTGTCCCGTTTTATTAATGGGTGCTCGAGTCGAAATATCGATACTATACAGATAATTGATTTGAATTTTCTTACAAAGAATAATGCATTTGAAGAGAATCAAATCTTTGAATTATTGACAACAACATTTCTCGGTAAGTATTAAAGCCGAATGATTACTTTATCGGATAAATATTAAATTCAGTCGCCACAAAGAACTTCTTTTTCGAAACATTCTAGCAGTATAATACAACTAATGTCACCCAAAGAGCTGTGTAGCATTTGAATGATATGAATAGATAAAGTTCAAAGGTTTTCTTTCAGGGAATCCTAGTTATTATCAGTTTTATACTAGAACTCGTAGTAAAATAGACCAATACAATTCTGTTAGATCTAATCTCATTTCGATGCTACTTCCCTAAAGACAGCTACGATGTACTTATTGCTTTACATCAGACCAACAAATTTGAGAACCTATATGATTACAGATTGATGTTCAATATTAAATTAGTTGTCCGATCATTCCATTATTAGATCATTGTTACGATAACATGAACAATCCATAGACATTTTAACATATGTTTTGAAAGAAATTTGACTACTTAATGGTGTTGCGTGAATGAATTTCCCATAGCATAAAATTTTCGCCACATTACCTAAGAATATTATTTAGCAAAGTTTCAAGTACGTTAAATTTTAATATAAGACTTGTTGACATGTTTATAATCTATACAACACCATAAGAAACTTTCCATTGTATTGATAATAATATTGAAGCGACTCGCACTCGCATGAAAAATTATCGATGTTTGATCATTATGAATAGAAGAATTTAATTTTTTGTAGAAAACAAGTTTCAGTCAAAGTGAATCCATAGCTTGTTTCTCGTTGATTTCAGCAGTAAACTGATGAAAACATGAACAGCGATAAGGAGAATATGACGTAAAATGCAGCAAGAACATATAGATTCATCCTCAACTACATATAAGAATAAGAAACTTTATGTAGACGTGTATGAATATGCAACAGATATCTTCTAGTAAGGTCATTACGAATTATTACAGATAGAATTCTTCATGTAAACTATCGAGAAGCATCATTTTATTTCAGTAATTATCTAAAACTTCTTTGATTCTGACTGGCTTAGTCATATCGATCCAATTTTTATGAATCGAATGCGCAATTGATTGGATTGATTTGAAACCTTCAAGAATGGCAAAAACCAATGCAGCCTATATAAATTTAGAATTTTAGATGGATCAGACATTCACCTCTCGACATGCTGAATGACTCAAATAATAGTACTTGGAGATGGGTTGTACAATGCAAGTCGACTTGCCTGTAGATCTTGGAATTATCTTTAATAAGAAAAACATTTGTTATTTTGTTTGTGTACTCATCTAGGATGCTGTAATCAAAATCAAATAAAAATGAAACTTCGGATATTGGTCAAAGTACATACATAGGACTATAAGATAAGTTAGATAGAGAATATTTGAGTTTCTACGATTTTGCTTTCATTGAAAGTCCAGTTTCAAGATGAATCGCAAGGCTTTAGAAATTGCCTAGAGTGAGGATCACTATTTCCTAATACGAGTCCACGCTTTAAAAGAATCGTCGTTCAAAGCTTCAACGATATTTAAGTATCAGACCATATCTGCAAAAGAAGTCGCTATATATTTTGAGTACTAGTTTAATTTTTGCCTATCTTTAAGATGAGACTATGCTAGATCCATTGGACCTAGACCTTAACGGTGTTCAAGGAAAAATAATAAAAAAAGCATCTTATTTTAGAATGCGAGGAATACAACCGTTCAATGCTCATTTTCGATATTGACTCGCTTATCATGCTTAATATATCAGATTCAAACATGTCGCAATCGACATCGATCTCGAACATTCGCTTGTATCAATTCATCCGAGAGAAATGTAAGACAGCGGTCGTTGAAACAAAACCAGCAGAGAATAGCGTGCGTATATGATACTGAACAAAAACTAGCATTTTTTTCTCCGTGAATAATTATACGTTCGTGCTACTCTTATGTTCTAGTTGACAGTCGTTGATCA